CATTCTGTGATTCTGTGAAAAGCATTAAAGCATTTGTATGCAGATTTCTGTGTGTAGTACAACGAGGTGACGAAACCTTTGTATTGCACATTTATTACAACTGATTGCAAATTTTAAGAGTGTGTTGTTATAAACCACAATAAAAGTAGAGGCATCCTGAAATCCAGTTTGGCTAAAACGTTGTTGGCAAGTACGGAGACTCTTTAGAATGAATCATGTCAGGGTGTTTTAGGTTTTCTGGGCCACCATTACGTTTAGATTTTTGACAAACTAAATCACTTGCTGGAATAAAATATGAATTATTTTTTTCCCTAAATGGGGAACTCTTACTAACTCAAAAAATTAGTTTACCCAGTTCCAACATTTGATACCTGATTTACAGTTAGATACTCAGAACAATGGCCTAATGGTAGTCTCTACTCTTCCCTTCCAGCACATGTAGCTGTCTTAGTTTGCACTCGTTCATGCACTTAGTTGTACCTGAGGTTCCAGTACACCAACGCTGTGCGTGGTTTTGTGTTTTTCCCAGGAATGGCTCATTTCTTACATGGGATTTCAGATGAAATGAAGCAGTCACACAGAGAGCAGCTTTTTGCCGTCAGCAGTGATAACCTGGTTGATGTATCAAACAAGTAAGTCTGTGTTCAATTTAGGAAAATGTTTATTTGAAAAATAGAACAAAAACATAATTTGAAGAAGAAAACCGTGTGTGAAAGTTGTCCTAATAAAGTTTGTGGATTTCTTCCCTTGGACTTTCGTACTACTTTCACTCGTTGCTTTTGTAACCTAGAAAGAGATGTTAATTATATCCTGCTTATTGCATTTTAGCAGACATAACTTCCTGCTATGTTCTGATTTTGTGGGAGACTGTTTTACTTGTGAAGGGTCCAGAAACTGTCTGGAGAAAGAGTACGCTCGGACACCCAGCTCCTGGCTATAGGAGCTGGTTCTAGACTCAAAACATTTTGTGCTGCTTTAGACTTCAGAATTCCACTACTGAACAATAACGAGGTTAAGGAGAGAGGGTAGTTAGGACTGTGCCTTGGGAGACTGCTGCATTGTGATGACTGAGGAAAAAACACAAAATCCCAAAGATGCTGTGACAGCAAACAGTGGGTGTGTACCAAACAGCACTTTTTCCTAAGATGAGAGTATTTTCAACTTGTATAGCAGAGCTGCAGATAACTGAACGCAGCAGTTTCTCATTTGTTTGTTTTTTTCTTGCAGGTATCTTGCAGTTGGGAAGAGCACACGTGGTCAAGCTGTACTTGGCCCAGAAAATGCAGATATCGCCAAGGATCCCTCATGGGTCAAACGATGAATTGTTGCTGAACATCCAAGCTAATACAAAAAAAGCTAATCTGTGTAACTGTATAATTAGGTTTTTTAGTAAATTTTAACAGTGCACAACAAACCAGTTAACAGTTCTCCTTCAAATAACTGTGAAAAATTTCTGAACCATACAGTATTTGAGAGCAAGAATTATATGCTTTGGATGGCAAAGACAGACCTGTGTATTTTACTGAAGACTCACTCCTCCAATTGCATATGAATACTATATGAATTAAATATTTTTGTATATGTAAAACTCTAGAGTTTTAGGTGGTGTTTGTTTGAAATCATATCTGCCATTGGATATATAAAGAACTATGTTTCTTATACTGACAGATTTCATCCTTTGGTGTGATAATTCTGGCTTCCTTTGCATAAGCCACCTGCAGGTATAGGAGCGTGGTGACAGTACATTGCACTTCACATCAAGCTGAGTTTGTAGTGAAGTGCAGTGTAGTGGGCAAATCACTGTGCAGTCAGTGGACGGTGTATTTTAAGTTTAACTTGTCTTGCCAGTTTGGGCAACATTCAGTCATACTTCGATATGACATTGTCTAGTATTTAACTTTTTGTCAAGTTCCAGTTAACAGATAAGCTGGCCTGAGGAAACATTTTTGGCTGTGTCATAGAATTATGGGTTGGAAAAGACCTCTAAGATCATTGAGTCCAACTGTCAACCCAACACCACCCTGCCTACTAAACCATATCCCCAAATGCCACATCTACACGTTTTTTAAACGCCCTCAGGGATGGGGACTCAACCACCTCCCTGGGCAGCCTGTTCCAATGTCTGACCACTCTTTCAGGAAAGAAATTTTTCCTAACATCTACTCTAAATCTCCCTTGACGCAATTTGAGGCCATTGCCTCTCATCCTATCGCTAGTTACCTGGGAGAAGAGACCAACACCTCCCTCACTACACCCTCCTTTCAGGTAGTAGTACAGAGCCATAAAGTCCCCCTCAGCCTCCTCTTCTGCAGACTGAACAGCCCTAATTCCCTCAGCCACTCCTCATAAGACTTGTTCTCTAGACCCCTCACCAGCCTCATTGCCCTGCTCTGGACACACTCCAGAACCTCAATGTCCTCCTTGTAGTGAGGGGCCCAAAACTGAACACAGTGCTCGAGGTGCAGCCTCACCAAGGCCGAGTACAGGGTCAGTGTAATTTCAAAAATCAATTTTACAGTTTTTTCATCATTACGGGGTTTTGTTTACTAGTTGTGAAGAAGCTGAGAGAAAAGAAACATGAAGCAAGGACCAGATTCTACCCTTCTGAACCTAAAGTTATTAAGGTTTCCCTAAAGTTTTATCATCCCTGTACAAGGAGAAAGGATTCCAAGCTCTAGACTAATCCTGAAGAAGCAACAAAAAGGAGCTTGCCCTGCTGTGACTACTTCCTGCATGGCTAGGGAAGGAAAAGGGCAGTTGCTTTTTTCCTGTACTGGAGTGCATAGAGAATCCTTCATGAAGCATTATTCCCGCAGCTGTTTAAAAGCAGGTGAGTACAATTTCTGGCAAGTCACTCGTGATAGTTGCAACAGTACTTTATTTTACTTCAGATACATTAAGCACATCCTGTAACTCAACACAAAGCTAGCCATCTACACTTTATTTTTGGGGTGTAAGTACTCTGAAACAAAGTGCAGTAGACGAGTAACTTACAGAGTGCATAGAACCGTGTTGCACTTCCTGTTAAAGGGTAGTATCAGTAAACGGTGCTTATCCATTAGATGCTAGGGTTTGTTTCAAATGTAACACAAATACAGGACAAGACCTGTGCGAGATCTGAATGTCTTGGTTCACATAAAGTGCTGGTACAATAATTTAAGTGTTACAAAACAAAGCTGTAACGATTCTAAAGCATTGTTACAATGTGCATCTATTACAACAATCTAAAAGTGATCTCTTTAGATGGCCCCGGTTTCTGCTTCCTTTGGGCTGCGCATAGCAACGTGCTCCAGCTGGCCTGAATCTGAAACATCGTAACTAGTCTTGTACTTGGCCAGGATTTTCATCAGTGGTCGCAGCTTCAGCCACCATTGCTCCTTGGGAATTCTGTGTCTGTGCGAGAGGTGTGGTGGGGAAAAAGAGAGAAGGCAATTTACTCAGCGCATTATAAAGGCATTTTACAATACTGATAGTAATGGCCTTCCTTACAAGTAGGATCAGATATTGACATTTATGGTGGGATGTAGACACTAACCCAAAATGGAGAGAAATAAGAACAGAATATTGAAGGAATTAATAGATTTTACAGGAAGATGTTCTTTACAGGTAAGCATAATGCCAAATTTGGCACAAAAATGCTGCCCTACTAAACTGTACCAAAAAGTAAAGTAATTCTAGGCATTAGAGAAAAGACAATTATGAGAAATTTATTTAAAAGGACATTGAAGTGGACTCCCCGAATTTATAACGAGGTACTTCCAAGTATAAGGAGAGTAAAGAGAAAGTGTGAAAGGAGTTGTTAGAAAAAAAGAGTGAACAGTCAAAGTGAATTACTGGCTGAATGCAGGCCAAAGACAGAAGTGGAGTAAAACAGTTGGCAAATGCTATGCGTCAGCACGGTGGAGAAGTCACTCGTTTGATGTGGTGAAAGGAAGCCTGTGTTGAGGTGTTTAAAATGCAAGCAGCATATACGTACACAAAGTCTGTTTCAGTTTTAAGCTCAGCCACTGGTTGGAAAACAAGGTTGCGTCTACGCATTCCCAGCAAACAAACTGAGTCATCGGTATTGGCAAATACTTTTCCTAAAAAGAATGAAATAATTCAGGATCTTTCTTACTCACACTTGTACGGACAAATACGCTTTTTCTGTAATTAAACTGAGCAGGAAGCTTACAGTAGCTTAATTCCAGTTACTGAATATTTAATGTAATAATAAAACATCAATTAGTACTTTAATAGGGTTAGGAGATCATCAATTTTCAAATTTAGCTTTGGTGATTAGCAGTGAAAATATAGCGTAATTAAATGACAATAAGACTGAATTTTAACATACAATTTTAAATTAGATTTTAGTAAATGATGCTTTACAAAAATTCCCAAAGAAGACGTATTACCTTCTTCTGTCTCCCATGTAGCAACCATGAAACAAAAAGGAAGAACAGATATAACTATATAACCATCAATTCCTTCATGCATGAAAAACTGCAATCACACTAGCATTTTTTTAAAAAGATAAGAAAACAGCTATCTGAGTTATTGACCTCACTTGAGGGGAAATCTGACAGCAGGAAGCACAGCAAGGCACTACTGAGTAATAAAAACATAATCAAGAAGGAAAGTAGTATGTTGACTAACAAACTAATATACATTCATATGTTTGCATGGTAGAGTAGTTTTATATACTGATAGCTAATCAAAGACAGTAACAAGAGACAGCACCAAATATTTCTGCACCTTTTCTGTACGTTTCTTTCAGTTTTCTGGAGATCCACTGCATAGCTTTTGCAGAAATTTTTGTCCCAAAGTTTCTATCAAATGGCGAAGGTGCACCACCCTGTGTGAAAATTTAAGTGGGTTAGTTTAGTTACCCAGCCAGTATTTGTGTCTTTTTATTTTACCTATCATCTCTGTTAATGGCCTGATCTACCTCTTATTTCCATTTCCTCCAATTAGAAAAACAAACAGACAAAACAAAACCCCTCCGCACCAGTTAAGCTAAAACATTTAAAATTTGTGTTAAGCATCCATAGAATTCGCACAGAATCAATAATACTTTTCACTTAGATAAGTGGAGGGCATCGTTTTCCACTTCCCCTTAATGCCAACCATTGAGCACTACCTAGGTATCGCACTGCCACTGGCAACCTGGTTTCAGCATGATATAAACCAGGAAACTGGTGAAGGAGAGGTGTCAGAAGGAGCCTCCAAAACCGAAGCGCTGACCCTAATTGAGGTAGTCCAGGAAGCAGAGCTCTGCTGCAGCTAGAATGAGGACGGCCGTAATGCCATCTATACAATACTAGGATGAAACAACTGCATTAGGACTTCCTACACTAGTAATTGCTTTTTTTTTTTTTTTTGTTAGCTGCATTCATTCCAAATATTACAGCAGCCTTCATATAGTTCTGTTTTGGTTTTTAAACCCTCTGTCTATACTACATAAAGAATTACTTTTCTGTCCATTTTCAATGCAGCAGATGGGACTGAAATCATGTCACATAGTTCCAAAAAGATTGCCTGACTAATGGTGGTCTTGACCTTCAAAATAAATTTTGCCAAATTTTACACAGGAAGTGCCAACCTCAGCACTGAATAATCTGGAAACATAACAGTAAGGGGAATATACATACAAATTGAATTGACTTGAAAGGAGAGACAGTCATTTCACTACTACTACTTGAGAAATTTGGCTCTACGTACATTTTTTACTCTACCTCAGTCTTTGCGATTAGTGCAGCCACATCAGAAACTTACTCTTTGCCCACTAACAGACAGTACAGTGAGACAGAGAGATGCAAGGTACAAAGACCACAAGGAGTAGCTCACTACCATCTCTTCTACAGGAACAATCCATATATACAAATGTTCTTAGTGAAATTGTAATAGAACAGCTCTTCTCTTGGAAAGAAGGGGTATTGTTTGTGTTTAATTAGTGTCCCTTTGATCAAGTATTTTTTTTGTAGTGCATGACAAGAATTATGTTAACGTTTAACCTAAGCTTAAAGACAGAATACCTTGGCCATCTACACTATTTGTTTAATCAAAGACAAATCCTCCTCCTGGAGGAAACAAAGGAAAATTGGCAGAAGTAAGTAGCTTTAAGTTGTCCTTAGGTGACATGTGACTATATGTGGATAAAAGGAGTTAGGATACTTCATCCAGCAAGACCACCAAGGAACATCAGAGACCCTCAAAAGAAGGAAGACATGCACGGAAGGGTCTGAAAAGGAGCCACGAAGAATGATGCCACATCATTATGCAACTCACGCAGATTAGAACAAATATGTATTACACAGAATATTCATGAATTCAATCTATAAACATAACGAAGAAGCCAGCATTGGGGGTGCTTGTAGAAAATCCACCGAGCACCCAGGCCTGAATAAAACTGTATCTCTCCTGAGTGTGTGAGGATTGGCTTATTGCACAGCAGGTAAAGAATCTGCTTTTCAGACAACAAAATCTTCACTTTTCCAGGGTTCAGAAGCCAGATACACTATAGATGGGAAGATAAATGTGTTCTAAGGATGTATTACAATAATAATAAGACAGCTATATTATCCATTTTAATAAGGTATAATTGTTTATTAATATAGACCAGAGATTAATAGAAATGAAAATGATTAAGAATCTAACGTGTTTTTGTCCTATATTTTTAAGAAGGAATTGCAATAAAATATAATGCTAACAAAAACTTCTGTGCTACCTACAAATAAAAATCCATACACTTTTTTTTCTTTAATCCTGAGTCAGACTTGCTTGAGAGGCTTGAATAGTGTATAGTCTTTGTTCATACAATGTTAAGCTTCTCTGTAATTTTAAGGTCATTTTTACCTGCTGCATGTGGCCCAATACATTTTTTCGACAGTCAAACACTCCTTTTCCTTCTTCAGAATACAGCTGATAAATAAAGTCAGTTGTGTAGTTCTCATTGCAGTTCTCATTTCTGTAAGGCCAGATATAGTTAGCAAATTTACTGTTAAGTAGTGGATGTCTTTACAGATACTGAATGACAAATGTTTTCCCTTTTTCTTGATACCAGTAATAAGGGCTTAGATATTGTCATCTAATCACATACGTTCATTTTCATGTAGCATGCTCACGATTTTGAAGTCTGTGTTATTTTTACTACACTAGCATCACTGGCAGGTCACTTGGAATCCATTGTTGAATAAGGTAGTGAAAAATATCATTTTAGGTTTGACAGTTTCTTTATAGAGAGGAAAAACTGCATTGAACCAAAAAGTCATCGACATCCAATGTCATCATTTTGCCTTTTATAAAAGCACGGCTAATGAATAGCACCTTAGGGTGTTCCTTACCAATACTGTAAACACAGGATATTTTTTCACCCTAGTCATATAACTAGTAGAACCTGAACAACTATGATATCCTCATACAAATTTTTGTAGTCTTCATTTTTCAGCCCTTTGCTATTCGGCATACTGAAAATAAATGCTCAGGAAAGAAAGAAGCTACAGCCCGAGTCATGCTGCCTAAGAAGGTATAATTTTAAAACATGCTAATCAAAATAAATGTTTTGATTTTTGAAAAATATTTTATTCTATGTTATCTCCTAAAATGTAAGTAGGATTTTTATAGTAAAGGCCATATTACATGTATGCTAGTTTTCACAATACCTTTACTAAGAAAGAATCTATGATAAAAGACAAAGCCAATGAGACAATAGGCTGAAAACAGGATAAAATATTAGGTTGTAGAGTAAATGTATTTACATAGAAAGAAAGCTTTGGACTTAAACATCCAGAGAGCTCCCAGACTTGCCTTTTGGAGCTGCAGCTTTAATAGAAATCTCATGCTAAAGGAATAATCAAGGAACATAGAGTGTCTTTGCCAGTGGCCAAACAGCCTGCTTGGCTGGAAGCACTCAGCATCATTGATGCAGTCTATTAAAACTACTTTTGCTTACCTCAGCACTAGACCACGCTGGATACTGGTTTTCATTTTTTCAGTCAAGTGTTCCACATTAGCCTAGAAGCAACAGAAGTGTTTTTAACAAGCCATACAGAACTCTGAAACAACTTCATGAGTACTTCTGTAAAGTATTCCTCATCAAGTGTTATGTGCAAATTCAAATAATCAGCAGTTTTTTCAAGATCCAGGATGACATACTGTGTATGGCTATTCATCCTGGGTTAAAACTAACTTACTGCTCCACATCACAAATAACTGATTTTAATAGCAACACAAAGTTGGGTTTTGGTATGCTATACTGGTACAGCACCAAGCTGGATAACTTCAATATACATAAAAGTACAGAAATTGCCACAAAAGATTGTATCTTGCCCTTACTCCCGGTCCTTGCAAAAGTCCCGTTATGGATTCAGTGATATACTGCTGTGCTGGTACTCCCATACATGACATGAAGAGTACATGCCCCTGAGAAATAAGTGGGGAGGAATTCAAATTCATTTCACACCTCTCTTCCTTTCAAGAAATTCCTGTGTTTAGCTTTGTATTGGTCTACAACTGCAGGCAGCACCAGCTACATCAGAAGTTTAAAATCCTCATAGTAGATAAGTTCCGTATCAGCTTACACCCTAACCTGAAATCCTTAAAGCTCGAGATCTTTGGTTTAGTAACACCTCCAAACATGCTCTGAATAGTTTTGGTATCCAAGTCAGTATCTAATACACCTTGCATACTGTTCAACTCCTGACATGAACAGTCATCTAACACAGTGGAAAAGGTATTTCTTTGTTTTCCCTATTTTTGTTTTTCTTTTGAAACTGCCCAGGTCTGTTCATTTACATGTAATTTGCATTTCAGTTAGAAGAGCAAAAGTGAAACAACTCACCTAGTAGTGTTTAATGAGTAGTACAATAATTATGTCAGCTAACTGAATCTGATGGCAAGAATAACTGGTTATATGTTCCTTTACATAATATGGCATAAGAACTGGATTTATATTAAAGTGCTACTGACAAATGTAGCTTTTAGATACAATCTAAACATCTGAGTTTTTGTAACATGAGCCATCTACTTCAAATATATACATTATACTATATATGTACAGCAGTTTTAGGATATACTTAGTGAGGATAACATTTCTGATGATGTATACCTGGAGCTCTCGAATATCAAACTGTTCTTCAAAGATATAAGCAGGATCAGCTCCTGCCGCAAGGGCCCCCATATTAGCCAGATAACCACAGTAACCACCCATGGTCTCAATGATGAATAAAAAAAAAGTATCTTTTTCTATGTTTTTACATGTTATGCAATTTTATGTCACTTATTGGTAAAAGAGTTTAAGGAATTTATAAAAAATACACCCTTAAAAATTCCAACATATCATAACCCATTCAACTATAATATTTACCAAGTCTTACAAATCATACATTGAACACCACAGTTAAAATATCTTGTTACTATCAACTCTTATTTATTTGCTTCTTGCAATTACTAAAACAAGAATTAATTTTGGTTTGTGCACGGAATTAAAAGTTGTGGTAGTTTTCTAACAGAGATACAAATAGATATAAAGTATCTTTCTAATCAACTCTGGTATGAATAAGTTTCTTTTCTTTGCTTTATCGCTATTCGTTACTGAAAGTTTATTTCTTCTTAGAATTTATTTTAAAATTCACTGTATTCCCAGCCACACTTAAGCGTTGCAGTTTCTTATATTTAAGTCCTGAGCGTGTATTGCCTTTCCAGTAATAATATCCACGTAAACATAATTCTTTCAAGCACTACTCGAGTGCGCTTTTTTAATGCTTTTGGTTTATTAAGAAGTACACACACTTACTATAAAAAGACTGCAATCTCCACTTGTATCTTACTCTGACCAGCATAAGAAATGTTCTCTATAAAGAGATCTGTTGCTTACATGCCACCAATTAACACCAACATTTATTAGAGCTGCCTAAGAAACTTAGAAAATAGCACAGAAAACTGCCACTGTGGTAAGACCTAGGAAACTTTGGAAAACGAACAAACTAGGTTACTATGCATCTCCAGGTTTTAATAATACTCAAAAAGCTATTTGAGAAACTCTCACTTCCTAGAACGAGTTTTTCTACCCTTCAGAGTAATTTTAAAGTCATCAGGTAATGTATCTTCCTTTCAGAAAGCAAGTAAGAGAAAGAAAAAGGTACTATTTCCTTTTTTGTTTTAAAAATAAATAAACAGTTTATATGAGGCTGGGTGACAATAATTTTGCACAGCTGATGTACTGTCCCTACACCAGTTCTGTTTAGTAAAGATGAGAAATAGAAGTACTTGGGAAGTTCATCATCTTGAAACCTGAATTACGATAATGTTAAAAAATCCTATGCCTTACTGATTTTCTGAATAAGTAACTGCAGATACTCTAATATTTGAGGTATTTCTGCTTCACATACATTTACAACCAGAACCTTCATTCAGCTAACTGAAAATAATACTTCAAATTGAAATTAAGACTGTGAGCAATACAGTCTTTAAAAATGTACCAAAAAGACCACAGAAAAAATAACAAATTAATATGTGAGAAAACTTAAAATGAAGACTAGAACTTCTAACATCATAAGGTTTAACACACTGAAGGACTGAACACAGTGTATGCATTTATTTAGGTCCAGCTACCAAAAGATACATTTAATCTATATTTATTAATATATTTGCATATGTGCATGGTATGTGTATACATACATACACATATGTACACACAGAAGTGCAGAATTCATATGAATTTATTCAGAATATGGCTTGACATTCCGTTATCCTAAGCGGAAAGTATCCTCCTACCAAACTACATCACAAAAGACTACATTGAACTTCATTGTTTTTTCAAACTGACACTGTCTTCTACCTGTCTTGGATTTTACAATGTCCGCAAGCACTTTACTTTCTCCTTCCAGATGTGGTTTCATAAGAATTGTTGCACAATACTGGCATATGCTAAACAGTAACAAATTTATAAAAATCATCATTACTTTTAACAGCGGCAGATGCAGCACTGAAACAATTTTAACTGATTTGAAGGAAGCTGCTGGGAACTGGATGGATACTATGTGCTTAGGATACAAAAAATCTTGGTTTTAGACACTGAAAAAATAAATACACATGTGAAGACTTCCATCATTTTGAGACACTTAAAACATCTGTAAATGCCAAGCTTTCTAAAGTTTTCCAGCTGCTGGTAGTAGAATGCAATTTTCTGCTAAGCAAAGATGTAAATTGTTAGTTGCTTTTGGGATTATCCACTTCAGACTTATTTAGAAGGATTCCTATCCTTGACTATACAAAAGACACAGTAGAAACTTTCTACTCTTCTTGCTCTCTCAGAATGACTGTGACAGAAATACCCAAATAAAAAAATGGCGCAGATGGATTTTAAAGAATCATTACTTCATGTACTACTCCATAGGCTAGAAAGGAAAGGGCTCAAATGTCCAATGCAGGTTTCAGAAGTTTTAAACATGGAGGCATGGCGACTCATTTTGGAGTACTCTTTGGAATTCCATTGCTAGTTGAGCTTTCATATGAACTGAGCCAGCTTTGTGAAAAATCTGATATTCAAAACTTCACCAAATCAAGTGTTCTATTTTTAGCCTAAACATTCTAACCACAACGAAATTCAAAAGATACAACCGTTTTTATTTTTTTACTGAGACCATTACTGAAAGCTGTACAAATTGCAATTAAAATCAATAATAAAAACAGTGAAATAAGAGGAAGCAGCAATATATACGATCATTGTTTTCCCATTGTGCTTTCACTTTTACTGGTGCATCACTGTTAGAAGTGATTATCAGTCATAATTAGCAGACTTAGACTAACTTTTATAGAAGTAGATAAGGTGGAAGCAGCTAATGGAGTGGTAAAACTAGCTGTGTCCTGTCTATGAATGTATAGCTACAATTTACCCACACTACACCTTAGGTTGTCTTCACCTCAGGGTTCCTGTATTGCATCTCCCAAAGACCTGTCCATAGTGTATTCTGACACAGGTCCTTCAATTATCTACTGGAGCTTTTTCACTCTCTATAAATAACTTTGTATCAGAGCAGGACAATAAACCTGCATTTCTCCATCCCCTGGATCTCTATTCTGACCTTCTTGGCCAATTACTTCATAATCAGTGATACGAATCAATAATAAGGGGTTTGTTAAAGCCCAGAGCTGTTCAGAGGTTTACTCATTTGCTTGCGTTAGACCTCAACTCAGTTCCCTTTTCTGCTGCTCCAGCAGACTCAACAGGGTAATACAGAAGGTAAAGAGTTCATATAGCAGCTGCTCTCAAGGGAAAAAGCTATGGCAGACTAAAACTAGAAAACTGATTTTTCTGACTGAAATGGAAAACTCATTCATAGCAAGTTCTGGCCTCAAACTGCTTAGTTAGCATCAGTGACAGGTTTAACTGCTTATATTATGCATGTATTTATATGCACTTAATATATGTTAAGCCTAATGCAGTCTATGGGATTATTCACGTGTTTAGTGTGTCATGTACTTAAAATGCTCTACTGCACTGAGCTCAGTCGTTACCCCATGCAATAAACGTGGCATTTATTTATAAAACATGTGCTTTCTTCTTTCACCTAAGTAAAGCTGAGGAGCTATGTAAGATAAAAAAAAAAAACAAATCAAAGCAAGCAAAATATTTTACTCTTAGTAAAAACAAATGCTCTCAGCACTAATGCAGCAGTCTTGGATGACAGAGTCCTCAAAATTTAAACACACAACACAATTAATTTGTATTAGGTTAATCTTTCATCAATCTTGGAAAACTTCTTAATTATAAACAATAAAAAAATACAGTAACTGAATTATTTTACAAAACTAGACATTTCAAGGTCTTTAGGTATCCTCATCTTATGCATTTTATCGTCTTAACTTCTAAAAGATAGGCAGTCTTACCTCCACAATAGCATTCAAGGCAGTGTCAGCACCAATGCTAAGGTCTGTGCCTGGCACATTGTTGCTAATAGTAGCAGGCAACACACAGACAGGTACGCAAAACTCCTCAAAGCGGGAACGTGCCTCATGTAGCTGCAGACAACTTTCATAGGCCTGAAGCAGTGGTACAAGTATGAGTGATACATTCCTTGTCTTTGGACTGCTCGGCTAATGACTCCTTGCATGTGATGGTAAATTTGGCTGTCAATTGGCTCAAGTAAATACAATTGGTGAGATTATTTTGGGAGGGATATCCTGTACATACCACAACAGTGCACTGGGGTTGCATTGGCACAATGCTCTTTGAGGAAATGAAGATTAGTGGAAGTTAATATAGAGTGAACGTGTAGTGCGCACAGCATAGGGATCTGAAGCAGTTGAGCAGAAAAAGACAGCATAAAGGTAGACTAGAAATCGTTCCACAAGAAACCACTTCAAGAACAAAGTCTGATACATGTTAAGGAGTTCAGAAAGTTAACTAGTAGAACACCTACAACTTGAAGGAAATGCTTAAAGAAAGATGCTTTTTAAAAAACTATGTTATTCTATAAAGTCAAGACACACACCTATTTCCACCAAGAAAAAAAGACAAAAAGTTTTGCCTATGCCTTTCAAGATTCTATCAATATCACACATCTTCCTCTATGCACACAGACTGGACACAGGCCCAGAAAAATCCAGGAACATGTGCACATGGATGAGTTAATAACCTTTGCAAGTATAGTTCAAGGATTCTTTGAAAAGCAGCTGTAGGTCCTTGGGAAGATTCCAAACACTACAAAATAATTCATCATATGAAAAGGATTAGGTGCTCCTAATAGATGTCAAAATAATACTTAAAGGTTAAGATTTTGCAGCTGTTTTAAGTCAGTAAATGTATTTTTTAGTTACATTATTCCAATTATTTCTGAACTAATCATCCTCTCTCATGATGTGTGGCAATTTTTCAAACTGCCTATGTAATGACTCTCCACAAGAAAGCCTGATTACATAGCACATTATGTTTTTCTTTATCTCTTTTTCCCAGAAAGGACTGATGTTCACAGAAGTCTCAGGTTTTCAATTTCTCAAATCAGTTCAGAGAAGCAAACTATTGCAGATCAAAATTAGACAGCCACCAAGTTATCTCCACAAATATCTCTACAGTGACTCAGTTAAGCAATAACTTAGGAGAAAATGATGAGGTAAAAAGTTCACCTGTGAGAGTTCTGCTCTCTAGGTTTTTGTCCTAGATAGAGCAGATCCTGTTCAGCGAGTGGACAGGACACATGGCAGTAGGTGCATAAGTGCAAACTGACTTTCTAAAGTCTGTCTCTGCTTACGTATTTCATAAAAGTAACATTCAGTTAATCTCAGTGCTAGGATGCATTTCCAGTTTAAGTGTGAAACACAGTCTAAAAGACTGCACTTTCAGACCTGTAGCTCTGAGAAGCATTATTGCCAGAAGAGCAACAAACGGATTTTTTTTTTTTTTTTAATTGAGTGAATAAGACTTCACTGACAAAATTTCAGTAGTTGCCTAGCCCAACTCAGCTCAGTCAGGCTGCTCTTAATTTTTATTTCTACTGAAAAATAAAGACATACACTTAGTCACAGTGGTTTCACAAAACAACTTTGCTTCCTGGAGATCTGCAAAACATAAGTTTCTCTAAAAAAGTTTTATATTGAGACTTTTGGGAAACCAAGTTGAAGGGAGATTTAGAGCAATAACTAACACAATTGGTTAGTCTGCATTTATGATCTGTTAAGATGCAGTTAAGATATGTTTTACTTGCATTAAATACTGCCATTTTATTTGATGCAAGTGATTTCAGCAAACATATCCAAAGACTGTACCTTCACCAAGCATGAGCATTAGACGATTATATGCAACATCTTCGCATCACTGCAGCAAAATATGAAAATGCTTTCACTAAAGAGTCACTTAATTATAAAGGGCAAGCAAGTGATCGGTGGTTTTCATAACTGCTTTATAACTATTTATTTTAAATAAAAACTACAGTAAGATCATAGAGGGATACTGTACTATGTCAATAAAATGATTTAATAATTTCACACATTTTTACTATATTTGTGTTGCTAGAAAGGTTATTGCCATAACCAAGGATGCTTTATAAAAATACATGCAGTCAAGCAAAGACTGTGTTTTGTTGACTTTATGTTGACCTAAATGCAAATAGCCATTGAAAGGGATGGATTTACTGTCCTAGCTCCACATCCAGCTGTTGCTAGGACTGAAGTGGATGAAAATTGGTTAGCCAGCTTGGCCAGGCTGATTTTCAGCTTCCTAGTTCACATTAATATGGAGCCACATATGCTAATACCAGCACTGGGAGGGTACAGAAGTCTGTTTTTCAAGGGAAATGCATGGAGAATGCAATAAGGCAATATAACTGTAGCTTTCTTCGCTCCTCAGTGGCTGTTTGCTATTCTTTTTCTCACAAAACCAACTGATCAATCTGTACCTCCACTTTGATGAAAGGAAAAGGCAGACTGTCAAAGGAACATTCGCGAGTTTTAGCCTCCTCCTTTTTCAGGTTCTGTTTTTCTCCATCTCTAGCTGATGCCTTTTTCTTTTCATTTCCCCATTTACCTCTACAACTCCTAAATCAAATAAATATTCTTCCATACCTTGTTCTGGTTTATTCCTCTTTTTATCAGTATCCTCTAGCCCATTAGTAGGTTTAGTTTTCAAATAAAATTTTCATCATTTCCACTGTCTTTCCATGCTCTGTAGCTGAAACAGTCTAAATTTTTATTCATTCTGCTTAATTACAGAGTAGGTTTCTACTTTTTTTATTTCCATCTGCAAAATACATTGCTAACGCCTGTTTTTGATCAATATTAAATAATTCAACTTTCATTTAAAAAGAAATTTCTATCCTTCATGGTTATGTAGGAAAAAAACCAACACTTCTTTGTCATCACATTCCAGATGTCTGCTATCTGAAATAATATTCTATTCATTTCACTGGATTAGCAACATTAAGCTGAGATTATAGGTATTTATATTATGGTAGTTATTTTACTGATTCACAGAAAACTCAAAGTTCATGTCCTTACCCTGCAATCCTAAACAATTATTTTGTATATCTACATATACAAGCCTTAAGCATATCCTTTTCAGGTACAGCAACATCCAGTTTTCCCCAAGGAATTTTATATTGGAGTTCTTATTGACAATTATTCTCACTAATATTCTGAAAATTGAAGTGAAAAATACAGCATATTGAAAGAAACCAAATTCTACTATTCAACTGATTACAAGCCTGTATTTTAAAACAAAAATGGAAAAAATGGAACATTTCAAGAGGGTCACAGAATCTGTTACAGAATCTAAATTCTAATTATTGAGAAACGTACCATCCACCATCTATGACTTAGGGAAAAACATACTCTTGCCTAATCTCTTGTTCAGAAATTATGTATCTGTTGGTCTGGTTTTTATTGTTTTTCTTTTTAAATGCAGCATCTTAATATATTTTATCTGCACATGTCTCAAGGTACCATTTACATGCCTCGACAAGTTTCAAACAACCTAACACTGACAAGTGTCTAGTAATGCCAAACACTAAACGAGGCCTCATTACCCAGCAGAAATGTACTTACCTTACTAAAAGTTGTCAAGAACATACAAGTAAGAACAGTACCACAGAACAACTAAGAGTGATTACATTTTGGTGTTCATGAGAGGTACGAATCTAAGAGTACTGAAAACTATTATGCATTTATTGACCTAATAGTGGCAATAGGAATAAAAATGCTATAAACTAGACAGAATGGACATTCATGCCCATCTGCTACATTCGTTTACCACGGTCAGTTGTATGACTTGTACTGAGCCTATCAGTCACATTTAATGGGGGACATCATCACTGTTGAAGCTGATCTGAACATTTGACACAGGAATGAAAGGATACATTTTTCATTATCAGTTTCAGTGAATCCTGTTCAAACAATCAGAGCAGAAAACTGAAAAGATACCAAGCAGAAATGTTTCCCCAACACAAAAGTCTGCTCCTTCTCAAAAGAACATAATTTAATTTTCCATTGGATTGAATCTAAATCTTGCAAAGCCATTACATTTCGTATTTATTTCACAGAAAAATCTAGGCAAAATAAAATACAAAACCAAGACCAAAACTGTGAGTAAAAAAAATATCACTTTGAGAAGTTTTCAACTACTGCATCGAAAATATGGAGATACTGATGTTTTATTATCTGATGAAGGTGGATGATATCTAGAAACCTAAATACAAAGCAAAACACAGCAACAAGGGGAGAGAGACTGACTGACTATGATATATCCCCTCTACGTGAAATAACCTATAAAAAGAAGTCAGTTAGGTAAACAAAGCTTATGAAGGAAAGAAAAGCAGAAAAGTAGGTGTTATGCACAATCATTTTACTCACCTTAATTTGTGATCAATCATTTTGGAGAGATATTTTTATTTACCAGAACTGGAAACAACATCAACATTTGTATCCTAAGTTGTCTATAAAGAATACTTTCAAGATATATTTTAGCTTGCTTACAGTCTTGTTCAAGTAAATAGTTAAGGAAACTGAAATTTCCTAACTGAAGGGTTTATTTTGCTGAAGATAAAAATAGTAATGTTGGCATGGTAAAAAAAAAAACAACAAAAAACCAAATCAAAACCAAAAAACAAAACAGGTGAAAATTATGTTAGTGCTTTTGAAGTTGATAGCATTTGAGGAATCCTTCAAATATCTGAAAATAATAATATCATGATTAAAATCTTCAAATACATGTAAGTGATAGAAAAACCGACATTTAATTTTCAAAAGCAATTGAAATTCCTTTCCCGCTTTACATGAGCACTATGCTTGTTATTCTTCACTTTTAAAAATGTAGCTCAATAATGCTCAAGTGAAAAATTCTATATTCTGGCTCCAACATGGCTGAAGACAAAAATCAGAAAGTGGAACTTGGAACATACTGTGGTAACTCATTGTCATTCACTAAGTTATGAAATAATTCTGCTTCTTCTTTATAAGTGAAAATGTAAGTTCAGTTTTGATGACAAATGCTTTATCAGGTCTTTGCTGTGGTTTAAACAAACTATGGACACTCTGCAACCATATTTGCAATACGTATGTGTCTGCAGATTATGCTGAAAAGAAAAAATGGAAGAAAGTATAATGTTACTGCTATTGTTTCAGAGACAAAATTAGGTCAGAATATACAGAAACAGAATTGCTCTTCTTCGCAGAGGTGTGATGGATTAATGCTTCTTAGGAGATTCAGATGAACTGTAAATGTACATGTCTGACAGTTTAATTTGTATGCTGTTTGACAATGCTTTTTGTCCAAATGAGTTTAGTATTAATCAAACAAATTTTAATTTATGTGGTATTACTGGACTTGATTTAAGAAAAAAATAATATGTCTCGACTCTTTTTGTTAAATATGTTATTAGTAGAATACACATAACTCCTATTATTAGAGAAATATGGATCTTTCTTACATTCTCTATTAGAGGAATAAAGATGTTGCATAAATAAGGACCTCTTTCTGAACAGAACAATACTCACTCAGTGCTTGTTATAGCCAGGTATGCTGATACCCTGCCTATAACGGGGATTTTTTTCCTCTAACAGTGCATCAAATGATCATCAAGTCTTAGTTTTAGGTTTGTTTCTTCCATATATGATAGATATATACTTTCTTATTTTGCAGTTTACAAATTTACAGCTCAATGTAGTTTCAGAGGAAACCTAATAGAAGCATTTAGGATCCTAAACCTCTGGCTTTTAAATGGGTATGTTGAATGTGGCTGTATCAAGTAACTGTCATTTTACAAATTACATTTCCAAAGTTCTGGTCTATAAAAATATCCAGTTCTAGCCAATTTAGTCAGTTTTAACCAGAACTGTTTTGTTAGTAAGCGCACACACCAGAATAGACTTACATCAGTGATAGTGTTCAGAGCAGTATCTGCACCAATGCTGAAATCTGAACCCGGTACATTGTTGGATACAGTTGCAGGAACCATAACCATTGGAACACAGAATTCATCATATTTCTCTCGGGCAGCTGACAATTCCAGAAGTCCGAGGTATGCCTGTTGGGCACAGGCATTAGGTGAAAAATTAGGATGAATAAAGTAAGGGCAAAATTGGAATGATAAAATGGAAAGGGCCACAGGGGGAGCCATTTCTACCACAGCACACTTCAGCAAGTCACAGCATTAAGGAATCGCTAAAAGCTAACACACACAAAAACAAGAAAGCAGTAAAAACAGGTATACATTTGAAAACAAAAAATAAATAGAACAGTCATTTTCAAGGGAATATATAATTTACACATACTAAGTGCTTTGTACAGCACAAACATACTGCAAACTAGTTCCCCAATCTTCAGGTTCTGTTACCCCTCATTTAAAATCTTAATATTCCTGTACTAGGGCCATATTTAACAGATTGGAAAAAATGGATGATTCATTCTCTACCAATAAGCACGTTGTTCTCTGGGAAGACCTGGCAAAATACTTTCCTGAATCTAGAGCTCAAAAATTTATCATTTTGGCAAAATGAAACAAACATGAAAAATGGAAAAAGAAATATATTTCTCTAGATCAATTACAGATTTTGACATGCACTGTGTGAGAAAGACTGGCTTAAGTAAGGGATCACAGTGCAATTACTACTAAAGGTTAAGAACTTCTGGAAGTATGTTCCAAGTATTGATACAGTATAGACTGGAACTTGCACTATTGAAGTCATTAATTTTTTTTTTTAATACAAAAATACTATCATGCTATCTCACCTTATTTATCCAGTTAGCACATCCTGTTTTGCAGTTACTAGTCACTGTCTTGAATATCAACTTTCCACAGAATCAATGACTGACAATACTTCTGATCCTAAAACATTATTTGTGTTGTGTATTGAATACAGTTATAACCAAATGCACTTTACATGAAGATTGGGTAAAAATTAAAATAGTCTATTCCTTTTGTTAGGAATTCTACTCTACTTAGACATAATTAGACGTTTCAGTGTACCTCAAATCCACCAATAACCATAAGGGCGTTAATGTTGTTAGTACGCATCTGGTCAGCAATCTTCTCCAAATATTTTGCAGGAAGAGTACTAAAAATTATTAAATCAAAAGAAAAATAAAAAAAATTTATAGACTCTGCAGCAAAATGAACTAATTACTAAGCTGAAACAGTGAACTAAGCAGGCAATGCAATATTTTTCATTTTTAATATTTATCCATATGAATAATTCTTCCTGACAACCAGTAAGGAATCATGTCAACTATTAAGAAGCTACTGGTTTGCAATCCTTTTAAGTGTAAGGATGCCAGGAAATTTTTAAGTTGAGGTCTTGACTCCATTTTCGTTCCCTCTTCAGAGCTGGTACAATACAATAAAGACACCCATGTTGGAACATAACGATTATTTAAAAAAAAAAAATAAAAATGAGGACTTAAAACATTCTGTGGAAGGAAAAGAGCATGGAATCATACACTGATTACACAAAATACTAGAATTCATTATATCAATTGGCAAAATATTGTTGTTACCGTTTTGTACCAAGGATCGATCCTCCTTGACCTGTCCAGCCTCCAACATCTCCCCAGCTGATTTCCTTTATCTTTAAATAAAAGTTAAAAAGGAGATGCTTTTAAGCGATTATCCAATTACTTCTCTTGACATGCAGCACACACCAGGTACTACTTAATATAAAGCTGTTGGAACAAGTTGTTTGGCACAGACAGCACCAAAAATGAACTTGGCAAAGAAAGAAAACAGCATCAGGAGGTTAACTTAACTTCTCTTGAATTCTTACCAGTCCCTTTCCATTCTGTCTATTTCTTCTTTCTTCCTCCAGATCATGATGAAACCTGCCTCCTTGTTTCACATCATCATTCTACTTTCACATCCTCTCCTACTGAATGCAAAATAAAAATCTAAAACTAGGTCTTTGAAATTAGTTTTGGGACCCATGGCTCCAGCTAGGCATAGAAATCATAAGCCCTGTATCCAGTTTCTCCTCAGCATACCAACTGATGCTCAACATTTAAAACAGATGAACAGAAGACTCTAAGTCACCTTGGAGGAGGAGGCTTCTTCCCTCAACAAGTACCACTGCAAAGTTTCTTACAGCAAAGGAACACAGATGCAACAACTCATCACACAGAATCAGCGAATTTTCTGTTATTCTGTGGCAAACCTACCATATGCTAAACACTGACAAAATTTGAAGGTAGAATTCATCTGAACCAATTTTGCAGCTCTGCAGCATGTGATTAGCAATACTTAAGATAAACAAATCTATAGACTTAGTTGAGAAATACAGTTACAATTTGGGTTTTATACATCTTTTTGAAATAAAAGAACTTACAGAATCAGCTCCCACAACAGTTATGACAGAACATACCTTCTAAGAACATAAACAAAGGTGGTGGTGTGGGATGGGGTACATACTACTATGTAATCCACGCATGTAATACTGACCTTCCCTCTAGCAAAACCTTCAAATCCATCAATGACAGCAAACATTTTATGTCCTTCAGTTATGCCAACTCTCACTGCAGCCCTCACTGCAGCATTCATTCCAGCTGCAGGGGCACCAACATTTAAAACTGCTACATTAAAATTAGTCTGCAAGAGAAAAACAAAATCTGATAAGCACTTTAATTTCTACACCACGGTTAATTTCTCCATCACACACAGTTGCTAAATATTGGTATGCAGGAAGAACAGAAAAATTACTCATAGATGCACACTGTAAGGGTAAACAAATCATGAGTGTCACTTTGTGTAATATGTTGGTAACTATCTTTGGATGAAATTTTAACTGCAAAGCATGAAATGCAGATGTTCTGTGCATGAAGTTTTCCTTGAAATGGATGGCTTATTTCCAGATAAATCACAGGCTACTGTGATTAAGAAATGGTCAGCTAGTATAAATCAGTACGGTTTCACTAAGTGTTGATTTAAAACAGACAAATATAAACCATTACCAAAAAATGAAGAAGGCACTGCAATTTATCAACTTTGTTTTACAGCTTTGAAATTAATACCAAGAGTAAAATTTAAGTAAAGAATCAAAAATTTACATGCCAGACCTTTGGGAAAGTTTAATCACTCTGAATGAATTTAGCAAACAAAATTCAAATGAAAGCAAACTATGTAATCAAGTGCAATAAAACTTATACCCCAAAATTCGTCATGCTTTAGGTCAGCTGGATGGCCTTAAATTGTTTATAACTACCAACTTGACAACATTGTAACAATCTGGTACTGCAGAAGTGCTAGAAGTTACTAGCTTTATACTGGAAGATGGGAATACAAAAGAAAAAGCAAAACAGTTGTCAGCTAGTGATCATGGAATCTCTTCCAATTAAAAAAAAAAAAAAAAACAAAAAAAAAAGACCTAAACCAGAATGTATGTGGTTTCTTTTTTAGCTCTGGCACAATCAAAGGACTGTAGAAATACACAAAGGGAACAAGCAGCAAAATGTCTGTGTGCAGCAACACCGCTGAAGCAGAGCATTCAGTAGGCTCTGGAGATCTGATCAGCTTAGCCTTTTCCTCAATTCCTCTGACACGCACACTTCATCTGCTTTTTAATTCCCATACAACCCCTTTTACTGAAGCACACAGATTTGGTTAGTGCCATCAGATCCAAGCAGTTACTAATTACAAGTGGCCTACATTTCCTTCTAACATCATCCATCACAAAAAGATATGGAAAAACTACTTTAAAACAAAATATGGAAGTCCAGTGTGAACAGTCCTAAATTTGCACCGGTATATAAACACTAACAAGCACACACACACCTGATCTGGCAAAGCAAATATTGAATATCCAGCAAAAAAATCCTGAATTCTTTGATCTCTTGAAGGTCAAACTTAGGTCCTTACTTTTTTAAAAAGTTACTGTTTTGGCAGATATATTTGAAATAACTTTGGTCTACATACTTACTTTTACATATGTTTAGGCAAAAGTGTAATTTAAACTAGAGTTATTTTATTGTAATTTCCTTGAAAGACTCTGCTATGATTTTTCATTTGTAACCAAGTTTCCTTTACTGTGTGAAGTTTTCCATGACATATTACACACTAATCTTTGTCAACTAAAATGGCTAGGTGTGACGATGTTACTTGCTATCTGTAGAATTTCTGAACAGATATCAGCTATTCAAATGAATTTCAATGCAATTTTTCTCCTTAATAATATTGGGAATATACTATTAATCATTACTCAAATATTTAATTGGAATAAAAAAAACCCAACAAACATAACAGTGACATAATCATGCAAATACGGTAACAAATCACCACAAACCACAATTAATAAAGGAATTAATCAGTGAGGTGCCATAGTCACCAACTATGGTCAAAACCAAAATTATTCAGTAAACAATTAATAAAAACAAAAAAACCCTGTCTGAAATTTGTTTGTACACAATGTTTAATGTCTGCTTCCTAATAAACCCAAGTATCTTCTTATGCACAACTTATAAACTAGAAAGAAAAGAAAAACTAAATGTCCACTGCTGTACAACGCATGGTGACTTATTAGACCACGCGAATGTGATGCATCTGTCTTCATTATTCCATTCCTTGCATTCCTGGACTTGCCCCGTTCTTGAGTGGTTTTGCCCTTCAAAAGGAAGGGCCAGAATTCTTCTATATTGAATCCTCCTTCGTCATCCTGAGTTTTTTTCACTCTTAATCACTATTACATCATCTTTTCTTCTCTCCATGTTAAGGAACAGAGAGCTTTAACAGTAGCTGTTAGGACCAGACCCTATACAAACTGAGACCAGACATATATTCAAGATAGAAAGAAGCTGTCTACAGGAAGTTTTCTAGTTTGAATAGTATTTAATTTTTTAAAAATCTTAGTTATTATTAGAATAAAGTTGTGTGTTGTAAGCATCTTTCTGCCATTAATATTTAACTAGTTTTAGAAAGTATGTTATGGCATAGGTTTGAAGAGAGTCTTAAGGCGAGATGAGTGGGAGAGAAGAACAACACTATTTGCAAAGATACCTCAAAAGTAGACATGCATTGCACACTCAGAAAAAACTTTTACCTTTGGAAGCTCGGCATCTGGTTTTTTGTGTGACAGTAATTTGTAGGTGTTAAGGTTGTTTTCAAAGCTCCTAAATAAAGTAAGACAAATGCAGTGAGATAAATAAAGTAAGATAAATGAAGTAGGATAAATAAAGTAATAAAATTTTCAACTCATAGTTATTTTAAAGAAACACATTTTTCACAAACTTTTAAAAACAGGTATGTAATATCAACACCAAAGTTATTACAAATGCAAAACACGATAAAAACTGGAAAATATTCAATCCTGTAAGACAACAGTGAGAAAACATAAAATAACTATATAGCTGGCAAGGAAGTTCTATAGATTGGTGATAAAGCATTTTGTTATCAAGTGATTTGAAACAGAAAATGCTGTGTTGACATGTAAGAGTGCAGAATGCCTCCCCACAACATCACTGTTGGAAAACTACCAGCTACTTACAAACAAGCTCATAGGATTGGCCTCAAAATCTTGAATAAAGAAACACAGGGTTGCTACCAGTCAGCTCATACAACACAGAAGCTCTTTTCTTCCTCACTAGTTATCCCAGTATCAGTCACTAGCCTGACACAGTACTGAGCTACAGTTTTCCTTGTTTTGCATGTTTTCATACAGATAAGAATTTCAATTATCCTATTTAAGCAACTCTTCTTCTGTCTGCTCTATTCTCAAGTACATAAAACCATATGGATATTAAATCATTTAAAATAAAATGTCAAGTGCCAGCAGAACAGCAAAGCAATTCAGCTTTTATAGAGCAACTAAATTGATACAAGTTACTGGACATACGTTCCACGAAGCCTCACAGCCTCAACAAATCTTCCCTCATCCATGGCTTTCTGGACTTCTTGAGTCTTGAAAAAACAATTTAATTACTCAGTATGTTTAAAAAACACAGAAAGATGATTATTTGATATATTCCAATAAATAGATAATTCTGTAATAGCTCTCCAGAGTGAAAAAAGAAATTCTGACATTTCATTCACTTATGAGCTACCTCTCCTCATAGTATAACTTACAGTGGACAGAAAAACAAAGTAGAAGCAGACACCTAAAGACTTCCTGGGAAAGAAATGAATTTTACGTTTTCTTTTTCCAGTTTAAGCTGAAGAGTTTTAGTGCAGAAACTCAACTGCTGTGCATGATGTGTAAATGGATGCAAGCATCTGAAGAATTTGTTGTAGCAATAAGAAGAGAAGATCTGAGATGAAATTTTAAAGCAAATTAAAAGTATATACATTTCTTGTTTGTTGGTAGTTTGCAAATAAGTGATAACACATAGAGAACACATTATTCCCAAATGTGGAAAACTGCTGCACAGATTCCCATCAGTGTTTCAATGACCACAGACAATTATTGTACACAGCAGTCTGTTGTAGTTAATGAGTAACTATAAATGGGCTTTTTGCCAGAAACTCACCATCTGCACACACTCCATCAAAGGCAGACGGACAGCCTGGTTTCCAGACAGTGACACAACACAGGCAGGGGTAGCTGGAGTAGCTTCTAAAAGGGCAAGTACAGCTTCCACACCCATACGACTTGCCTGAAAATAGATAATGTTTGAGTGCTCAAGCAAGCATTTAAAAGTAAAAGGCTTCCAGTCACAGAAATGGTCATAATTTCTCTGTAAATCAAGCTGAAACCTTGGTAGGTGAAAATGTTGCAGGCTGTTTGATACCCTTAAGTATGGAAGATCGTTCTTGCAGCTTCGCTTTTTAATCGTAATACAGATTCCTTTACACGACATGCTTCACTATTCTGAATTTGAGCTATTCAGACAGCTAATTTGGGATGATAATTGGATCTGTCAGGTTAATTGGCTAAAGAACTACCCCACTCCCAAATAAATAATCAAAATGTAGTTGTACCATGTGGTGCCATGAGTAATCATTTTAGGTTGACTCACCAAAATTCTGTCAAAAGCTGAAGGGGTTCCACCTCTTTGCACATGACCCAAGATAGTTACTCGAGTGTCAAAACCGAGCCGCTGAACCACAAGCTGCACAGAATTTCAAAATATAGTGGTTTATTATAATCATTATTTTATATATGCATATGTTAGCATTACTCTGCTTTCTGTGCTATTGGAATAATAAAATTCAACATCTACTATACATTAGTATGTCAACAATGATGAAAATACTACAAAAGTTAAGCCAGTCTTTATTCCTAACCTAGAACTAAACTCCAGGTTTCAAATCTAAAGGAACATTTATGTAACAATGGCAAACCAGTGGTTTAGATTGCAATGCTTAAACTGCAGTTATAATGGCTTCATTATGCACAGTCCTCAGCATTATAAAAACAGGTCTAAACATTATAATTAGAATACTTGAAAGAAGTTCAGTTACAGTGTTTTATTCACTCCATGTTTCATCTATGTGCGAGATTACACATCCCAAAAGATTCTGAGTAAAACTTTTGTGAAGATGACTTTCAACATTAATTGACAAGGTGTTCAAAAATTCTAGTAAAAATTATAATAATAAAACTAATTTATTCAGTCAGACTTTCTTTCCATTTCCTCTATTACATATCAAATCTAAAGTCACAGAAAGACATGTTTTATTAATACATCTTCAGTCAGTACGTAAGGTTAGGAATAAGTAATGGATACCATGAAGCAGAAAATAAATTTAGAAGTTACGTACAAAATTATCTATCTCTGGTATTTATAGTTTTTGAGTGTTTTAACTGGCTGAAATTTGTAGCAAGCAAGTAATGTTTCTTCCATATATGCATAATAGCTCTCTGCTGTATGCATATTTAACACCACTTGGTGCTCAATTTTATTTCGTAAAGCTGCAATCCTGAATTAAGAGTCAAAGATTACTCTCAAACTGACAGCCATAGAAAACAAAACTTCATAGTCACAGGACAGATAACCCCAGGTAAAATGAAAGTGTCATAGCTCCTTCCTGCCAATGACTATTTTTCAGCTTCTTTTCTTAAGGGATCCTTTCCAAGAAAAGAACAATTTCAGCTTAAAGGTTTTTCTTTATCTTAGACACCAATGAAATTCTTGGCAAAGCAACCATTTCGAGAAAAGTCACAAGTATGTTCAAATTAGACAGTGTTATTTCACTGTGAGACAGACCACTACTAAAATTTTACAAGAAATATACAAAATATAATTACCAATTTAAGCTGATTTCAGACTATCTATTAAGGCACCCATGAAGTACGTGTTTTGGATGTTGTCTTATTTTACATGGAGAAAAGGTTCTAATTAACAGCCACCGAAATAATTCCTCCTTAAGCAGGCTACGGATTCAGATAATAAAGCACAAATATAAAACACAACCAGCTAACTGTGATAAGCTACACCTATTTATTCTACAGAAATATTATCGTTAATAACAAGCTCTATCTTACAAACAAAACAGAAAGTGCATCATAAAGATGTTGACACTTACATCCTTAACCTTCTCTGACGTTATAGGTTTGTTGTGGCAATCAATAGCTCCTTCAGCTACAATAATAATATTCAGCCTTTTCTTTCGTGCACGATTCTATAATAAAAACACATCTATATAATAAAAAATGAAATAAATTTACAACATCATTTTATAATCAATTGCTTTACATTAAGCTGCTAGGATTTGAGGAAATATTTCTTACACTTGATCCCTTCAGTGTTCTCAAACATTTTATCTTTATATAGGTGTTTTCTTTGATGAAGTGAAATGTCCAAGTAATGAGGAAAGGTACCCACACTGCTTATATAGGAACAGTTTTATGTAATCACTAGAGTAGATCATATAATTCTTCAAAACATTTGCAGAATGCAGGAAAAGAACTGTTTAAGATCAAATAGCACTATCTGTGACACACGAAGCAAAGACTTGCTGAAAGTCCTGAATCACATTTTTAAACCACCGTTTTCAAACAAACATCTGCAAAGACGTCAGGAAATCCCAAACATAGTAATAGATTACCTCTGAAAGCTTAACACACATTGAATCTTCCCATCCTTCTTCTGGGGGGTATTCCGGAATAAATACCCAATCTGCACCACAGGCTAAGGCACTAACAAGAGCTAGATACCTAATAAACATAACAAACAATTATTATATCTGTATATAATTATTAACATAATTAATTAACATAATTATATCTGTATTAGACACAAACTGCTGAAGACAATACATACCCACAGTGTCTCCCCATAACCTCCAGAACAAATGTCCTCTGATGGCTGTAAAAATAAGAAAACAAATTAACTGTAATACCTCAACTCAAAAATCCAGTCCAAATTCTTGAAAACAGAACCTGATATCAGGAAATAGTCTGTAGTTACATTGCTTAACAAACACAGAATTCATTAGCAAAACAGAAGGCCATATTAAACAATGTATTTAAAATTACATATCTTCCAACCCCTAATTCATTTTCACTACTACTTTCTCCTAAAACAGTAAAAGGCAGTTAGGACAGAAAAGGTGAACATTCACTAGAAATGTAAATGATGCCGTCCCATAGTTAAGAATTGAAATGATATAGCTGAAAAAAAAAAAAAAAAAAATTGCTTAAATTTTACCTAGAGAAAGCTTACATACAAACAGCTGCTACTATGTACCACTCAAGGTATGTTTGGATCTTCTGTAGAAGAGTATGTCTGGGAAAGACTAAAAACATATTAAAAAAACAAAGCCTGCCCCTAAAGCTGATGCAGCCTCTACAACCACATGCTTGAAGTGCTGCCATGACAGGAATGATGGAAAAGCCGCTACTAAGAAAAAAAGAAACTGCGATACTTGAAAGATGCAGCCAATAAGAGTTTTTATTCCCACTCTAGAAATATTAGAAATACCAGTTGCCTAACTTCTATTTAAAATTAACTTTTATCCCCCACTATTGTATGGCGACAGGAAACTTACGTTTTGAAGCATGAACAACTGCGTATTTGTTATAGTTTTATATAACATGCACAATTTACCTTTGAGCAGTGGTCATGATGGCATCCACGACTTCAATGATTCTGTGCAAGGCTGAGTCAGTACCTATGGTCATATCAGTGCCACAGAAGTCATTGTCTATGGATCCAACCATTCCCACAATGTTAAGGTAAGCATATCTCTTAACAGCCTCTTCATCAATCTTTCCTGTAAAGAAGTATCCAGAAAAAGAGCTGTAAGATTTTTTTAAAAAACAAAATTTAGACATATTGCTTGGGTGCTTTATTTTGTTAATTAAACATATCCAAACATTAAATTACGTTTAGATACTTTAGGTAACAAGGTTAGTCAAAACTACAAACAAAAGCCAATCAAATAACAAAACAAAAGAATCCCGTATAGAACTCCTTACAGCAGGGAAGGAAACAAGAGCTTTTCAGTTTATTTCAAAGTGTCAACAGATTATCAAGTTGTACAACCAACCTTAAAATTGATGGTTTGGACTTAAACAATAGCAGTCAAATTATAGTCTCAGTGTACGACATGCAATGAAGAAGTAAAAGGATGTGAATGGGATGTGATTATGGGGATATATAAACATTAAAAAACCAGCATTAAATGTTTGAAGACTTCTCTTCTGCAACACTGAAAGGCTCTGATTTCATGATTAATAAACAAATAGAATAGAAAAGCCCCTATTCTAAGTCCTAAGTGTGTCCCAAGACATCAGTGAAAATGCTGAATCATCCAAGAGTTCTGAATAATCTCAAGGACAAAATACCTTAATTGCTTAAGTGCCTAAAACTACCTTAGTATCTGTACATGTGATGGTAGTAATTATAATTCCAAATTTTTAACATGCTAACTATCGGTGTGTTTAATGACTATACTAAGGAAAATAGTAGAAACCATAATGAAAAATGTAACTAATGTCCATAAAGATAAGTACAGTATTCTGAAGAAGAGTCAAAATGTTTTCTATGAATATATACCATGCATTACAAACCTTTCTAGAGTTTCAAAGGTGATTTAATAATCACATGAATAAGGGACAGCTGGTTGACATATTCTACCTGGATTTCCAAAAAGTCATTGACAAGGTCTGTCCCCAAAAGATTTTGAGGAAACTAAGCACCCACAGCGTAAGACAGAAGACTTTTGCCGTGTTGTGAAACAGAGGGTAAAAAATACAAAACAGAGGGCAGTAGTAAATGCAAGTTCTTGTATCCGAGGAAAGTGATAAATGGAGTTCTACAGAGATCTGTGCTGTTCAACATACTTAGCAATAACCTAGAAAAAGGAATGAGTGGTAAGGTGCAAAAGTTTACTGATCAAAACTGAATTATTTGGGTTCTACAGGTGCGGGGTGTCTGAGAAGAAATGAAGAAGACTAGCCAGACACAGTGAGCAGTAAAGAATCAGATGGAATTCATTGTAGATAACTGTAAACTAATACACATGAAAAATGTACCCTAACATCACAAACAAAATAATGCTATTTTCAGCATAATAATATTATAATGCTGTTTTCATTAATAAATCAGATTCAATGCTCAACAGCAGTCAAAAAAAAATCAAAATATTAGAAAATATTAGGAAAATAATAGAGAACAAAACAAAGATCATTATACTACTGTGTAGATCCACGGTTTGCCCTCATCTGGAATACAGGGTGCAGTTGTGGTCCTCCCCACCTCAAAAAGGACATGGTAGAACTGGAAAAGGTTCAGAGAAGGGCAACAAAGATGATCAAAGGTATAGAACTTACATATAAGGAACAACTAAGCAAACTAGGATTCTTCCATCTAGAAAAAGAGATGATGAAGGGAAAATAAGACAGCTGTAAAATCTCAGGTGCCGTGCAGCAAGGAAGCAGGACTGATCATTCACAGTTTGTTCTAACACAAAAATTATAGGACGCAAATGAGACTAGAAGCCAGAAGGATCAAAACAAACAGAAGCAGATTCTTCACAGTCTTCATCATTCAGTGAAGCTGTAGAACTCCTTGCTACACAATGTTTTCAGCAAAAATCTGTATGTGTTCAAGGAGATTGTAAGAAATTCATTAAGGACTGCTGAGAGCATCTGGTTCAGGAAGTCCTGAAGGAACAAATGGATGGAACCTATCAGAGTATTTATATATTACGAACATCATATTGCATCAACACACCATTATTTAGGCTTGCTTTGTTATTTTACTCTTTCCTATAGATTCTCTTGGATAATATCAAAGACAACTACTGGGCTGGATGCACTTTTAGCAACAGTCACTTAATGTTCTGATCTCAAACAAATAGTGACATACAGGCAGGAAAGCATCATAATTTAATAACAACCAAGTGTGTATCTTGTTGTAGGAAAGGAATTACCATCTCAGTCTGGATTTGAGGGCAAAGGGCTTTTCAAGCAGAAGGTTCAAAGTTCAGGTCCTGAAAATGACTCACAATGTCACACAGACAGTTGCTCAGTAACTTATTTGGCCTTTTTGAACCTTTATGGTATATAAGAGATGATGTACAGAAATAAAAAATTATTACTTTATGAAGAATCATCTAATTTCCTGGAATGTAGACATTTAATTTTTGAACTTAAGAAATATCCTCTGGATGTAGTTTATGTATGTATAGTTAGGGTACAAAACTTCCCTGGAGATTGGACTAGAAGTCTAGAGGGTCTAAAAGCAAACTTACCTTTTTGTGCCAGCTCTTCTAGAAGTCCGCTCCATTCTTCACGGAACAGATTGGCACCAGTTAAGCTACCATCTCCGCCAATCACACAAAGATTAGTGATTCCTCTCTGAACCAAGTTGTAGGCTGCCTGCAGGCGGCCCTCCCGAGTACGAAAGGACTTGCAGCGTGCGCTACCAATAACTGTACCACCCTAGAAAAAGGAAGTATAACAGTTTTAATTGATAATCCAATATTTTACTGTAATTTTTTAAAATGGATTAAAGACGAACAGTTATTTTGTAGCATCCATCTTTAATTTTACAGTGAGGAAAAAGTAATTAAAATCAAAGAATTATCAAACCTGCAGGAAATTATGCTCTAAAGATTAGACACAAAAGGGAAAAGGGGAAAAAACACTCAAAAATTACTGATAAAGAGCTACTCTTGAAGGAAAATGTTAAATTATTTGGCATTAATTTCAGTAGCATTCCAATTAATTATCTAATTGTTACTTATATGTGATGACAATAGTAAAAGTGATATGAGAATAAGTAATAAAGAATTTAAATGGATTTCCTTCAAAGCATGAGATTTTTCCCCCTAATATCATGACATATATAACCAATAATAGAAAAGATATATCCCTAAAGCTCAAAATTAGCATTTGTTGTCATTCCACAGAATTAGAGAACTGCATCCACATTTAGTACCTTATAGATCAGACTAATGATAAATTTTCTTTTTTATTAATTTATCTGCTGTATTTATTAATAAGATTTAAAGAGCTTCATCCAAAAATAGAAGTAATTATTTTCAACAAAGACTGAAGCACCTTGTCACTGAAAATTGCTGGGCATTTTGTTGAAAGAAAAGTCTAAATTTTGCCTTGTTTATTCTCACAGTAAAAAGTAAAATCAATTAAGAATGCAAAAACTTTTTTTTCCTGCAAACAAATCTGGAGATGATTACTTCACTTTTGCCCAAACATTTCCTTCACTTTAACTTATAATAAATCAGTCATGCCAATCCAAATTTGAGCTTCAAATCTGCAGAGGCTGTACTGATACGATTCGTCTTATCAAAAGTTGTTTCAGCTCTCAAGACAGTCCTAAGCACTCTTTTACCATGTATGTTATAATGCACAACAGCTGCTAGTGGAAGCAAAAAAAAAAAAGTGGAATAAAGGCAGTTCAGTCAAAAAAGTTAAAGTATACACATGGAGATGTTCTAAAAATAAAAATCAGGACTAAAAACCACATCTAAACTAGGTATTTTCATACTTAAAAAACCTCATAGTTCTAAGTGGAAAAAAGAGTATGTGTTTTAAACAATGTACTACAACTTCTTCTGATTAAACAGAAAATCTAGGTTGCACTTTAAAATCTTTTATCAAAACATCTAAACACGTTCTTTAAGATGCATCCTCAGCTTCACTGTTGGTCTGTTGAATTCCTAGCAATCAAGCTCAGAAAGGCATTTTTCTTATAGTATGTATGCTATACACAGGTACAGGATGCTACATCCTGTTCCTGCCTACGCTCTTGTGTGGCTTGGCCATGACATCTCCATTTTCTCTTAATAAAATAAGATGCATCTGGATGACGCCCTTAGTCATATAGTTTAGTTTCAGGTAGCCCTGCGAGGAGCAGGGATTTGAGTCTCTTCCAACATGAGATATTCTACGAATCTATGATTACAGATTTTATAAGATAGACAGGGGACTAAAAATAACAACCAAAAAACCAAACATACGTGGACAAATTACTTCACAGTATTCCAGGGTATTTGTTTGAAAAAAAAAATCATCTATTTTTTGCTCTGCTAACTGCTCTATGTTTATTACAGAAAGCTTTACAAAGCTCCAAAGAAAACCACACTTCACCCGCAAGTAGTTTTCAGAAAGCTTGTCAAGCAGTAAGGCCTCTTCGCCAAATATAGCATCTGCTCTGGAAGAGGTAACAACATTGCCATGCTGAGGAAAAGTGTAAGGAGACCCAAATGGCCACCTTGCAGAACAATGTAATAAAAAAAGTACAGACAAAGTCACTGGTATTATCTGAGCTCTGGAGAGCTGTACTGTAATTACACCCATTACTATAATTCTAAATCCACTTACATAGGAAGCCAATAGCGTTTCGTAAGAAAACACTTGACTTGTAAAACACAGTTGTTTGATATTTTTGTCCTATAATGCCCTTTTTATTAAATGTAGGCTTGGCAATATGGCTTGAGGAGGCTAATGACATGTAATGTTGAAAATCTAGGACAAAGGTTTTCAAGCTTATTTCTGTGCACCAAATACAAAACGACAGAGAGATCTTTAGGAAGTGTAAAACATCGATACTGCAGAAATCAAGCTCTGCTAAAAGTTCTATGTGATGTCACTCAGTCATCACAGAATTCAAAGTCATGGTTACAGTCGTCTGCCTGAATCTAGAATTTTGGTTCTCTGTTTAAAGAGGGTTTCGGTCCCACCCCCATGCCCTAACACTTACCACTTGCAGGATACTTGAAACACTTTCCCATGACACCTCTACAATATTATCACCTCCATCAACCATTCCCTGGTAACCCTGAAAGAGAAAAAGTATTTCAAAAGTCTGATGTGAAAAACTGTGTAACATTTCCTCTGCAGTAACGCTCACCTTGTATATTTTAATGCAACTAAAACCACTGAATTAAAAAAGTACTCAATTTAAATGAAACAACATTCAAACATGTATCATATTAGAGGTAAAAAATGCCAAACAAACCCTTTTTTTAAAAGACCAGTTCCAAAGACAACTTCAAGATAAAGTAATACTTCACACAGATTACACAGCTTATAAACTAGAACGGTGATGTATTTCTCCTTTCTTATTAATAAATATTCATTTATTTTAAAAAAACTACAAAGATGGAAGAACGTTGAAAAGCCTTATAAAATGTGCTTCCTAAAAACACAAGCTCAGCCTGAGGTCATGATCTTAGAAAAAAGGCCTACCTCTATAACACTTTGTACACTTTTTACCCCAAGGTAGTTATAAGCAAAACAATCTAAAGATTAACAATGCAAAAGTTTTCATAATTGAAGAAGAAATCAGATCATGTAACCTTTATTCTTTTTTGGAGGCAATTACACAATAAATAGATGAAAGAAATTTAGTAGAAAAGTACAATTTTTAGTGATGAATCTAAGAAGTCCTTAGTATCTTAATTCAAATGGTCTTCAGAAACCAATGCATGCTGTAATACAGAAAGAGCTACACTTAGCTGAAAGAAGGAAAACTATCCAGTGAGCAGCTGATGGGTTTTGTTATGCCTGGCTTTATTAACTCTCTGCATAAATACGAGCAGAAAGATAGTGACAATTACTGATTCTTTTCCATTAGGTGATATTGTGAATGCTGGTTAAGAAAAAAAAAAAAAAAGAAAACACAGCAAACTTCTAACCTGGAAAAACCTAACTGATACAAATACCAGAATAAAACTGGAGCTACCATTCAACTTTTCAACACTTATTTAAATCCAAAGAGAAAAAAACCACACTAGGTTAAAGAAAACTAACAAACAAAAAACACTAAACAAAAAAAAACATGACAATGTTTATGTCTCCATTTTTAAATTATGTGTACATATGGATAATGATGCTGAGGGATAATCAGTTAACCTTTCTTTTGTATGCAGTTCTTGCAAGACTGTACGTATTAAATTCCAGGGTTCTCAGTAATAAATAAGCTGGAACTAGAAATAGAAGGGAGTTTAGAAGACAGTAAAACTGACAGTATAAACCTGAGACACTTACTTTGGTATGATCCAGAGTATATGAAGATTTTATGCAGTAAGCAGTAACTTGGAAATGCACTAAGCCTTCACTGACTTAAAAAGTCATACATTTTATATGAATACTGTATCTTACTTGGAGTCCCTCACCAGCATGATACGATAAGAATATAAAGATAACCTGGACTCAGCAAAAGCACGAGTTACTTAAAATAAGCTTTCTAAGATTCTAGTACAGATTCCAAGGGGAAAGCGTAAAAGTTATTGCCCAGTGAGACCTGACTAATAAATTTACATATAAGATGATCAAGTCATCATAAAGAAACAGCTAGAAGGAGAATGACCTATGTCTCTAATTTCTGTCACTCAACAGATCTTTTCAATATTTTGTACACCCTCCAGATAACTTTGATATGTATCTAATGTATACACATAATGTCTTGTATACTAATGTATACATATAATGACTTCAAGCTAAGACTTTATTTGCAGAATTCCTTTGAAATTAGAGCAAGTTGGGAAAGAAATAATGCTTCATCTATATATCAACTTAAAAAAAAAAAAAATTATTGCTCAGATATAGTGCAAAGATCTTCAGACAGAAACATTCCAGCAGATCCAAATGAGCTTAATGAAGGATAATACATTAGCAAGTGTACTTATCATAGGTTTGCAGATCTGTTTTTTTTAAAGCGAAGAATCCGATGTTCCTTATATCACTCAGTAATGGACTGAAAATTTTTCCTATCAGTGTTCCTATTGGCAACTACAATAATACAAAGATTCATAGGCAACAAATCCTGAAAAAATAGTGTGATGTTGCATCCTAACTCACTTTATAACACTGACTACAGTAAGCTGCACTACAAGCTGACAAAAATATATACAGTTCACAAATTTGCTCCAATCATTCACTTTCCATTTTTACTTGAGAGGCAAAATAAAGAAAGTGCACCCAATGAAGTATTATATACAGTAAATATGTACATAATTATACACATATCATGAGACTCATGGATAAAAATTCCCAAATCATACTTTATTAACAAATCTAAAACACAGGGAAAAGCAAAAGGATAAACTGCCATTTGAAATTGTCTGTAAGATTTGAAACACCTTATATCTAGGCTATGGATGAGCTATGACTGACTCGTGCACCACGCATCTTTAAAGTAGAAAGAACTCCTGCATTCTGGTCAGGAGTCCGCATCAGTTCTACTTTCTCTGTGTAGATAAGCGAGAACAGGGGCTGTGTTAGCAATGCCTCCCACTACAACATAAGGACAGGGAGCTTTTGGAGCAGGCTTGATCCGTTTTAACTGCCACATCAGCTTTTCCCAACTCAGTTCTGCTTGCCAAGTAGTGTATGTAAGCTAGCTCTGAACAGTGTACTAGAATTTCCACCCTGTTCTTCCATACCACTAAGAGACACTAAAGCCATAGTATTAAAACAGCTTTCTAGAAAAACTGCATGTGAAAAAAAAGATGATTAATTATAATTGAAGTATGAATAATTATAATTATTTCCAATTAGCATTTTAGTTATTTAAACACTGATGCTAACTTGGGGACTGGGCAATCCACTTCAAAGGCAGAATTTAACTTGAAATATTTTATCAAATAGTTCAACGCTGTCACAGTTGTCTGATTACTGAAAATTACTGAAAGATGTGAACACAGACCATAATAAAAAGCCAGTAGGAACCTGCCAATTTACATTTAAAAAAATAAAAAATTTATCTGAATTTTAAAAATAGCAACTTGGCTACTAAAATACTAAAACTATGGGGCAAGAATGGAAGAAAATAAACTGCCAAAAATACAACAAGCACTATACTTAAAAATCAACCCTATTTTATGCTTACTCCTTCCTCTACCCAAAATCTGAATATTCAATGATGAACAACAGGAAACCTCTGTGAGTCATATGTTCACAGGGTACATATACACATATATACATTGTAACTCCTGGAGAGAGCAGCAGAGACAGCAAACCTTGCTTCCAGTCTTAACACTAAAAAGACAACTCATCTTCTGATATGTTACATGTGAGACTTTGGGCTTTAACAGTTATTGAAGTTTACTTACTGAGCTTTTTCAGCTATTGCTCAACAACGTAAAATACTAGCACCGCTGAGTGCACAAACCACCACATAAAAGACACGAAGTTTTCCTCACAAAAATCCGTGACTGCCGTACCATTGCATTTCCAATGCTGGCCTCTTGAGAAAGACTCTTAATCAAGATGAAGAATCTAAAAGTTCCACAGCTTAGTAGTAAGAGCACGCATCCACTGGGAACTATGTGCTTCAATGCTGGAAAAAGGGCAGGTTATTTGTATAAAAATTTAAGACCTCAGTTTCTAAAATGAGTTGCCATTAATGAGAGGCATCACTCTTTCTTCTCATTCTCAATTAAAAAAACAAAACAAAACCTCACCAACTGAAATCATTCTGACCAGTGAAAAAATCTGAACTAGCCTCCTAGAGCAGCCTGATACTTCTCTATGTACTTCTGTCTCCTAGATTTTCACCGTATAAGTGAAGTAAGTCATGGGTGTTCAAATTATAATTCTGATTGGGGTAGATTTGAAGAACAATGTGATGCTAGTCAGTGAGGGTGACTACAGACTGTTAATATACTAAAATTAAATACCAAAAGATGTTAACATGAATAAAATATGAAACTAGGGCAAGTGTATAGAGTAAGCATTGTTTCCACAGATTAATAGCAAAATTTTCAAATGTGCTATTTTCAGTAAATTAAGAGACAAAGGATTATTTATTATTTTATAGCTATAAAATGATAGTGTTTATGTAAACTATATAAATTATATATAAATATAACAAATAATAGTTTTTATATAAACTATTCCATAGTTTTACTTTTCATCTGTGGTTGTTTTTTTGCTTTGGGGAACCAAAGTATGTCCAAATAGCCCATGAATTCCAACATCTAACAGTTTCTTTCTTTGGGCTTTGGTAAACACAACTTAAAAAAAGGTTACAAAATTATTTATATCTAGTTCATTGCCGATTTTTATGTATGTATCTTGGCAATATCTCTCTGATCACAAAATGAAGCAAAATGGAGTTAGGAAACAAAAGGAAAACAGAGTTATTGTTTTACTTAGAATATGGAGCTAGTTTTGGCCACAGCTGTAGCAGACAGGTGATCTTGCAGTGCAAAAAAAGTTCTTATGCCAGAGAGATTTACAGGAGAAAAAGAGCATACGACAGTTAGAGCAAAGTAGGCTTGAAAAGGCTGAGACCTTTAACTCCATTTTTGGCTCCAATTAAGGAAACCTTCTTCATCTTTTGAATATTGCCACTTCAGCTTTTTTCTTCACTTTTTCAGAGCAGCTTCAAATATACAATTCATACTGGTTAACACACTGAAGTCTACATTTGATAAACTGCAATATAGAAGGACCTTATTGAAAGTATTACATAAAATAACACCAAGTATATACAAAAAATACGTCTCCTCTGTATATATCATGCAAAGGCTTAAAATAGAAATCATTAGTGACAAGTCTTACCCTGAGATTTTTACCTTCACACACAGAATCACACTGAATGTTCAGGGTTGGAAGGGACCTCTGTGGGACATATAGTCCAACCCCCCTGCCAAAGCAGGGTCACCTACAGCAGGCTGCATAGGACCTCGTCCAGGCGGGTCTTGAATATCTCCAGAGAAGGAGACTCCACAGCCTCCCTGGGCAGCCTGTTCCAGGGCTCCATCAGCCTCAGAGGGAAGAAGTTCTTCCTCATGTTCAGACGGAACTTCCTATGCTTATTTTGTGCCCGTTGCCCCTTGTCCTGTCACTGGGCACCACTGAAAAGAGTCTGGCCCCATCCTCTTGACACCCACCCTTGAAATATTTATAAGCATTTATTAGGTCCCCTCTCAGCCTTCTCCAGGCTAAACAAGCCCAGCTCCCTCAGCCTCTCCTCGTAGGAGAGATGCTCCAGGCCCTCACCATCCTCGTAGCCCTCCGCTGGACTCTCTCCAGTAGCTCCTCATCTTTCTTGAACTGGAGAGCCCAGCACTGGACAGAGTACTCCAGCTGGGGGCTCACTAGGGCAGCGTAGAGGGGAAGGAGAACTTCCCTCGACCTACTGGCCACACTCCTCTTGTTGCATCGCAGGATCCCGTTAGCTTTCTTGGCAGAAAGCTAACAGGATCCTGGGATGAAAGCTTTCTTCCACTACTCTTGTCACCTGCATCTGTTTCCTTTTTCAAAGTGCTGAAATTAAACAGCTGTTTCATTTCAAAGCTTGCAACAGAATATTTCTCTGAAATACTCCTATGCATTGTGAAAGAAAACTGACTTCATATTTTAATTAACACACAGTCAGAGAGGAAAAAAGCTTAGTATTCAGTACTTCCTGAAACATCGAACTGAATGGACTAATCTAGAAGCAAAGATCTCTCTCAGAGCTATTTCCCATACTTACACTGAAATGTGCATTCTTCTCCCAGCCTACACTGCTACAATGAAGATAGAATGACAACATATAATGGAAACTCAAAACTCCAACACTGACTTGATTTTCACAATTAATTTTCATTCAGAAATATCTGTGACTTCACACTGGCAAACTCTAGCAATTAACAGAGGAACATAATAACTTGAATAGTGCAATTTTTCTGAGGTCAGAAAAACAACAGAAATTTCCAAATTTTCCAAATTTTGGAAATTTCTCATTGAATACACTCGTGATACAAAACAGTTTTTTAAAGAGATAAAAGTAAACATACGATAAGATGAACTACAAAGATGGTAATTAAGTCAAACATAATTAAAAAAAAAAAATCCAAGTTCTGGCCTTTAAAGACAGCCAAAAAACCTCCTTATTTGCACAAAGTATCTGACCCATTTCAGCAAGCCTACAAAACAACTGAACATTGAAGGAATTCTAGAATTGGCCACGTAATTAGCACACACTAAGTATTCAGAGCTACTTGCTGTAGAACTGTAGTACAAAAGAATTTAGAAGCACAGTGCTCTGCTTATTTGCATTTCAATATACTTCGCATCTCTTCAGTAAATGAACTATAAGAATAAGCAGACACAGAAAGAAAATGGATAAATAGCTACCCTTCAAAGCTAAATTGCATATTTTGCATGAGCAAAACTAAACTCAAAGTACTTTCCTAGCACTTCCATTAATTCTGGTACTCCATATTTTTGTATTAAACATTAAAATTACATTTTGCCAGGAATATTACCTACCAAGTTTTGCCCCACATCAGATTATGATTCATAACCACCTCCAAATTCTAAAGAGTTGTACAGGAATTCCACTGCTAACAGAATGACTTCTTGCTAAATATATTTACTGTGCTGTTTAACTCAGAAATTTTATAAAAACTGAATGTGTCCTTCAGGTGGAAGTCTAACTAACTTAGTCTTCCAGTAAGACATACACAGATAGTATTATTTTGGCATTTACATTAAACTTGTCTCGTCATTTTTTCATATCAAATAATTGTTGAACTTAACAATCTTCATACACATGCAGTCATAAACTTCAACCACAAAATTCTGATGTCTGGACACGATACTGATGGCACAGTTTTTTTTCATGGGGTCCTTTTTTTTGCTGGTTGGAGTTTTTGCAGTTACAAATTTCTACCTATAAGTCAGGAAAGATGGCACCAGCCTGACAGTACTTAAAAACAAGTTGTGTAATCTGTGAAATGAGGGTTATGGCACATCCTTATCATACTCTAGGAAAATGGACTGAGGGGGAGTCAAAGGGTAAGAATTAATAGTTTAACTAGGCTTAGGAAAGTATAAAGTACAATATTTGGGGCCAAACATCTAACAGGAACACAAATACATAGCTCGCTGCTGGGTGACAACCACCTCTGGTTTTCTCAGTATTTTCAAGCTTCTGGTGGCACATGAAGAATTCCCCATATTAAAAAAAAATTACTTTTAAATTAAATAGTTTGAGCATATACCTTGTAAAAAGTACTTTCTGCAAAAATAAAAAATATGAAATAAAGTATTGATATAATACAAGGGAATGACATCTACAACATTTTTTAGTTCATACTATTCACTCTCCACATGCTTTCCACAAAAACTCAAGTATAATCAGAAGACAAATACAGAATGAATAAAATAAAAACTAACCTCATAAACAAAATACACCTTGGCTTTTACATAGATTCCCATGCGTACCACTGCACGCACAGCAGCATTCATACCTGAGAAGAAAAAGCAAAATTACATTGTTATAGGTTATCCGATATTTTTTGTATACTATACATTTTCACTGTCTTTAAAAAAAAAGGAAACATTAATTCATTGCTAAAGAAAGACCCCATTCAACATATAAAGAAATTTGCTTAATGACAGTGCAATCAGTCCATGGATATGAAGGGCGCAGAACTATTTGCTTTGTTACAATAATTATGTGGATATCAGTATGTGTGTTAATCTGAGATTAAATTCCTGCTAAAAAAAACAGCATTGTAAAAGTAAGCTAATAAACCAGAAACAGAAAGTAAATTCATTTCACAATAATGATTAGTTTTCTATCTGAAATGTAAAACATTCAGCCAGTTAAAACTTATCTTCTTCAAAGTATAAATTATATTGTAACAGTTCTTTTTCCTGAGCTTTCCAAAGTAACACAGGTGTATACACATATTTTGTGGGGAGCACAGCCAAAGCTCCTGACATTAACAGGTGCCACTTTAAAAGAAAGAAGTAGCAGTAAATTAACACAAGAAATGCTGCATGGACTCATTTGACAGAAAAATGCCTAAATGCCACTCAGCTTCCCAGAATTAACTGGGAGGAGTAGTGGAAACACCAGCAGGCTGTGCTGCCGTTCAGCAAGACCTGGACAGGCTGGAGAGTTGGGCAGAGAGGAGGAACCTGATGAAATTCAAGAAGGGCAAGTGCAGGGTCCTGCATTTGGGGAGGAACAACCCCATGCACCAATACAGGCTTGGGGCGGACCTGCTGGGGAGCAGCTCTGTGGAGAGGGACCTGGCAGTGCTAGTGGACGACAGGTTAACCGTGAGCCAGCAGTGTGCCCTGGCTGCCAAGAAAGCTAATGGGATCCTGGGGTGCATTAAGAGGAGTGTGGCCAGTAGGTCGAGGGAGGTTCTCGTTCCTCTCTACACTGCCCTAGTGAGGCCCCATCTGGAGTACTCTGTCCAGTTCTGGGCTCCCCACTTCAAG